ATATATATATATATATATATATATATATATATATATATATATATATATATATATATATGTTCCGCCAAGATATACGTTTATATATTTATATTCTCGCACTGCAGGTATCCTCAAACTCGATTTAGCAGCGGCTATATAACGGAATATGTTCGCCGATACAGAGAGGATTCGATATAGGATTAAATCGTCATGGAGTTAGTTATATGGCATGAAGATACCTGTTCGTCGGGGACGGATCGAATTATATCACCTCCTCGTTCTGCGCTCGCAATGGAAGCGAAGGTAGTTCTGTACTCGTCTTCCACTTTGCACGGAGAAATTCGAATATGTCGCATGATGCAGCAATGGCATTAACGGACTTCACTCACTAGATATTACTGTCATGATTTCGCGAGCCTTACACTCAAGAGTACAATCACTGTATTCGTTGCTAGTATGCTGTATTTATAACTGGCGGATCAGTTATAACTGTAGCACTGCACTCAATAAAATCTCGCTCAAAGTATCAGTTAATAGCAGACTGTTCCCATTATTGATGCATTATTGTCCGCAAACACAGACAGTAAAACATTGCACGCAAGGCATACAGAAGCCGTTAATTTCATTGCCACAGACGCAGAAAGTCAAGGTTGGGCGTTTACATGTAAATTATGACATTTTACGTCCATGTGCAGACAACACAACCTATGTATGAGATGTCATCTATGTAGACAATGAGTAATCTATGGATGTCGTTTAAAGAACTTATTCAAGACTGCTAAAAAATTATTTTAGTCTCTCACACACAAGACATTACCTAAAGACGTCTTATAGATGTCTCATTTCAGACGCCTTATTTGAGACGTCTTAAGGACGTTTTACTTCTGATGTCTTTTAAACATCTCTTCTAAGACGTCTTTTAAACTTCATATTTCAGAAGTCTTTATTATGTCTGACATTGATGACATTTTTAAGACTGTATGACTGCCTACATTACCGACTATGAGATTTATATTCGCTATTACAATGGCAAATATCATGACGATCTCTTAGAGTGGAGTCCCATGGCACGTATTTTCGCGTAACGCGTAACCGCATAACCAATCACATGTTTCTATTCTTTTAGAAGCTCCAACAGAAATACTAAACGTCGGAATTAATTGGTTACGCGCTTACACGATATGCGGAAAATACATGCCATATCAATCTTAATCTTTGTAAGCGTTGCATACGTGGAGCGTGTCTAGGAAAAGTTATTATAGTAGCGTGTATAGTTAAAAGTTATTAAATTGTGGATTTTTATAATTTGATTAATTTACTTTAAAATTGCAGTGCCAGTGAAAATTTTTTCCACACAGATGGTCGTTGAGAATAATAGACTTTGCTTACCAGTCCTATTCAGGATCAGGTATCGATGACAGCTAGCCAATATTGATGGTATCTGACATCGTATGCTTTAAATTTTAAATTATGTACTATCAAATATCGCTATTCGACAACGCATGTTTTAAAGTTTAAAGTATACGATGTGATATCATTATTATTCGCTAGCTGTCATCAAAACCTAATCCTAACCCTGAGCAAAACGGATAAACAAATTACGCTCAAATCACAATTCTCAACCGACTAGAGCAGATAAATGATAATAAATAAAACATCCTTCCTTTCTTATTGTATATATAATTATAGAAATCTATAATAGCATATCTAAAAAAAAGTCTTAAAGTAGTTTTAAACAAGATTACTTAAAATAACGTCTTAAAATAATGTTTTTCAAACGTCTTAAGTAGAGACGTAAGATATCTTAAAGACGTTATAAAAACGTTTCTCTGACAATTTTTTAAGACGTCTGAAAAATTTTAAGACGTCTTTTAGACGTCTTTAAGATTGATGCAACCTTTCTAGCGCGACTTTTGGATATTGGAAAATTATTTTGAAGATTCTGGGCATATTTCTGAGGGAATAGAGGCATATATACTCAAATAGTGTCCCAGGAATAGTGCTGAGCCATATACGCACACTTGATCTCATTTTCGATAAATATGGGAAATTAGTTTGAAAATATCCTATCTACTATGTAATTTTCGTTTCGCAAATACATCTTTTTTTTAATGTACGCGCAGGAAGATTAGAATTTATTCGTTCAGCGGAAGATCTCGATATAGATTCACGTATATTTCGACATTTGTTTGCTTATAATATGAAGTCGGGTAATAGAAATATAACGTGAGCGCAAGAATGCCTCGCGGCTACGGATAAAACGTCACATTAACCCAGCGAGTTTGAATTTTGCCGATGTTTCCAACGTTGCATGCATCAAATTCATGTTCATTTAATTCCACTTCCGCAACATGACAAAAGTGGATTGTGAATTTTTCCTTTACGAGTAAAGTGCCATCCGCTATTTCCATTCGACGATGGTGCACAACGCGACGCGAACAACTCAAGGACCGAGCAGAATCCGTGCACGCGAGAGTGCATTAATGCAGTAGAAGGGTTCGAAGAATTGTAAAAAGTGTTTTTGGGGCATTACAACTCGAGATCTTGGACTAATATTATTAGTAAAGCTACTTTCTCTCATATACGCATGGTAGCCACTATGCTAACAATGCTACACTGGACTCATTCGTAGAATGATTTTTGAAAATTAGAACATTTTTTTCAGAATTTTAGGAAAATTACTTGAGGAATAGGAAAATGTTTTATGCCTCCACAAGAGCTTGTCCTGAAGATTGTTTTGAGGCATGCTGTATATATTGTTCTAAGGCACTCTGTATATATTTAAAAAAAAAATACCGAAATATTTTTATAAAATATCTATAAAATACTTAAAAAAAAAATTGAAAATATTCAGATTTGTAATAGTTTCGCGCGATATCACCATATCTATCTCTTCCACACGTTACAACATGCTTTAAGGTCTTGAAATTAGTATCGCAGAAAGGGGGCGAAAAGAAGGGGATCTTTCATCCGACGTGGCTCTATCCACCTACGCCAAAGAGACCCATTGCAGATTCGCGTGGCGCGGCGTTCTATCCGACGTGATTAAGAATTAAATATTTATGAGAGGGGCAACTCCGTGCCCTGGCTGCGCTCCACAGCCGCTTTCTTCGGCAATTCATGTTGATAGGGCACTCGTTATGAATAGAGCGACGTAGAATACGCGCGATACTGGATAAGCGTGCTGAAAGCGCGCATGAAAATAAGCTTTCGACGGCGGAGCATCGAAAGCATCGAGCTTTACTCGCAGCCTCATCCGCGTTGTCTTTGCTCCGCGATGTAAAGACGAATCCTCTGTGAGGACGCTTAAAAGGCCCTTAATAATGAATCCTTTCGTGAATAGTCCGACGTAGTGTCACCACCGCGATGTAAGTACACGCTCGCAGACGTTTGAATGCGCGCGCGTTGAACATGTTCCGCGGAAACAAACTCGAGCTACGCTCTTTCGATCTCCTTCACCTTAGAATACGTCTTCTCCCCAACTAACCAAGCCGAGCGAGATATAACGCACAAGAAAGAGGGAATGAAAAGAAATACGCGTTCCGTGTATTTCGGTCGTCTACATTATTAACCGATTCTATCTCGCGGCGCGTCACCCCGGCCTTTTATATTCATCGTATCCGCGCTTTTCACATTTTTCCTTACGATTGCCATAGGGTTCCTCATGATCGACCCCCCCTCCCGTACCGTTCTTTTATTCGCCGGCGCTTCTTTGACCCTTTCAGAGTTCGCCGCTTATTAAAAGGAAGATCCCTGGTTTTTATAATAATTAATATTGGCCTTTCATTTTGCGACTCGTCTGTGTCGGGTCAGACGTGCCCAGGTCGTGTTTTCGTTTAGGCGAGCCTCGTTCGCGAATATCGCCGACGCTAGTTGTCGATATTGCGGCACTATAACGTAAACCGGCACGATAGTCAACGTACACGTATTATACGTCCCGTGACGTCGATTGCCAAGAGCGCAAGGAGGACTTTGAGCTGAGAAAGACAACGATAGCAACAGGTGGCATCAAAAATTCATTCCTGATGGTCCCCATCAGTGGAGGACATCTGTTTCTAGGGATCACTTGACGTTCTTAATTATGATTCCGGGGCGTAATGAACGTTTATGATCACAGGTGTACCATTAAGACAATGCTGGCTATACCATAGAATTTATGTACGTTTTAGTCACTGACGAGCGTTCTGATAATAAATTAAGGAAACGCCGTGGGAGGTGCTTTTAGTCTCAAGCATCATTCCCTGATTCGCTTTGAGATTGATCGAAGTTTTTCTTTAATATTAAGAGGAAGTATGCACATCTATACGAGGATATATAGAAGATCATAAGAATTATGTAACATCGCATTCTTTTGCATTCACTTGGACATAAGAGAGCCAAAAAGGGCCTTTTACTTTTGAATGCATCATAAAAAAAAAAACACTAGTTCCCGTATGCTCACTGAAGTCAAGCAATGTTGGGAACGGTCAGTACTTAGATGGATGACCGCTTGAGAACACTGTAGGAGAGACCTAGTCGGAGCAAGATGCCCTATATTTTAGAATTTCAAAGTTTACAGCTTCTCATTCAACTAATTGTTGTGACTGATTGTATAAGCATGATAGAAGCAACTTTTTAATATGTATTAAAGCCGCTATGACCCTGTTGACCGTATATTTCGTTTTGTAATAACCAAAATATGAATATGCAGCATGCAATGTGGCTATCTTGTCCTGGTATTGGGTTCAGCTGCCCAATAGCACGAGGTAAGAAGGTCACACATAAAATATGTATCCTGATTAGTAGTTCCAGGATTTCCACAAGAGGTTTTTACAGCCCACCTGCCGGCTCTTAATTATGGGCCAAATTTACCTCGCCTGGCCATATGCTCGATTTAAATCACTTCATGAATAAAAATTGCATTTATTACTAGAAACAGTATACACTTGCAAGAAATTTCATTTTAGTTAGTAACGTAGCGCTTAATTTTACTCAGTCACGATGGAGATACACGATTGTTAATATAAAATTTCGAGAGGTAACTTTGAAAATTTACTTTGCTATTACCAGATTAGTTTTCTATTTCCTAACTATAATATTATTCCGATTTTAATGAAACTTAGGGAATTTACAAATAGAAGTCAATACTAGTTAAGTGTTCTTAATATCAAGGACATTGATAATTTTGAAAATGACTGCAAAATTATTCTTTGAGTTGACACAAGTCTTGTATTATAATCACGTTATAAAATACTTTTGTTTATTGGAGTATAAGCGATAATAAAACTTTGAACGCGTTTCTCTCGGAACCATGTTTTCAACATTATCGTGTAGGATTTTTTGTAGACTATTAAATCGATGGCTTCAAACTTTTCACACATCTTTAATACACTCTTGTACACATAGGTTTTATATTAATATATAAAAAATTAGTTTTTATAAGGTCAACTGGAACGGAACATGCGCGATATTCGACGAAGACTCGACACAAGGGACTAGGCAGCGTTAAAATAATTCATTGCGTTTGTATTGATCCATAAAAATGAAATGAAAAAAAGGTAAAAACTCACAAATTCGCTGGCGAATTTCTTCTCTCGGATAGTTCGGCGGACAGACATCGAATGAAAACATACGAGTCAAAATGCTTCATCAAATGAGCCGTTAAATGAAACAGTGTCGTTCCGCGTGCATAAAGCTATATTAGTTCTCGCGAGCCACCCCATTCCGGAGCGACGTAAAAATTCGAATCCTCCTCTTTATAGAATCGTAAAAAGGCCGACGTGATAAAGCGGCGAAATCTTATATTAGGTACTCTCGCAAACTTTTCCTGTGTTTCTCAAACGTAAGCGGACGATATACGACGCTCTTCCATCCGACGGCTGAAAGCTCGACGAGCCGGGAAAGAGCGTCTCGAAACTTGTCGATCTCACAAGGTGTCCAACCACCTCTCGATTTTGAACGCCAAGTACTCCTTCGTGCAGCTGAGTGCTGTGTTCGAGTTGACGACATCTATGAACTGCCGGCCGATCTGCACGAATACACCTAGCGTTCTCAAAACATTGACGACGATCACACGTATATCCTCCGGCAGGAAGAGCAGCAGGTTGAGAGATCGCTTCATATCTTTTAACACGCACAGTTCCGAATTTTTAGTCGGCGTGATCTCGTTGTCCCTGTAACCTCCCACGATTTGTTTCACACGTGCCGAAGAAAGCGCGCTTCTCTTGATTCGCGCATGCTCGTCGCGCTGGCTCGATTCCCACGGGATTATTATCGGGGAACGGGGAACTTCCCGATTTTCGAAGGGCATTTGTCGACGCGACCGGCGACCGAATCCCGACGGAAAGCCGCTGGCACCCCCGCCAGGATATATCGGTAAGACGCTCACTCGGCGAGACGACCTTTCCTCTCCACTCGATCGTTGATAGCGCCCTTGTCTTTTTCCCGTGTCGCCTTCGTCTACCTTCGCAGTGCTTTCCCGAAACTCCGGGGACGATCTTCCGTGCGACGATAAAAGCCAATCGCGAGATAATTCCACGCGCTTCCGTCGGGACAAATTTATCGGCCGTGCTGGTTCACGCGATGAATTTCCCTCGGAATCCATCAACTTTATGACGCCCATACGACCACGTCCTCCCGATCCCACGTTCATCCGCCGGAACTGCGAAAGCGACGGCATCGGGGACCTTTCGTCGTTGTTCAAAGGGACTCCACGTCCTTCGGGATCACTCGTCCTCGTTGCGCGATAGTCAGCCAGCTCAGATAACGGCTCGCTGACTCTCAGATTTCTTTCTCGAGACGGTGAGTACCGTCGAGAGCGAAATCGACTGGTGTCGAGCGATTTCCGGGGTCCTGCGCGGAAAGCTTTGAGTGAAAATGAACGCGGTCGGTCGGCGTTGTCGATGGAGGGACCGCGATGGCTCGTCGTCGCTGCGCGTAAAACTTTACGACGCGTATCCTCCTCCGCGTGGTCCCGCGGGACTCCCGCCGAGTCGACTTCGTCATCATCCCTGGGATTAGACGTCGGATTAACGGCCCGCGAACTTGTCCCGCGCGATGCAAATTCGCGACGCAGCGTGGCAGGCTCTAGTTCCTCGCCAGGAAGATCCAATTGCGCGATCGAAAGTACGTGTCGCCTGAAATTTTTCAGGTATGTCACTTTGCGGCTTAAAAGGATTATCGAGTTAACCTCGACAATCTTGTACTCTCATCGCCTGCTTAAAGGCTCAAAGAGCTAAGGCTGTAGTTTACACGATATAAGTATCTTAAGTAGCTATGCGTAGAAAAATAGGAAAAATCGAGAGGTTAAATTGAATTTCCATCAGAATTGTGAAAGATAGAGCCTTTTTCCGTGTTGAATATCTCTTATCGCGTGACTCAGACAGAAAAAAATATAGTTTTTACCTCTTTCGTATCTTTCTTTTCTCTGTCCTTTCTACCTGGTCACCAAAAATCGAATACGGTCAGTCTATTCTTATTTTGTGTATGTAAAATTATACAATATGATTCTTGTTAAAAAAAAAAACAATTAAAAAATCATAAGTAACTTTCTTTTAAATAACCTAATAATCTGTTATCTTAAGAAAAGCTGTATGAATTTTTTGGAAATTTTCACCAATTTTAAGTTGACAAAAAATGCGTTGGATATGAGTAATCTCTTCCTCCTCTATTTACTATTAAAGTGTTGAAGATATCAATTCTTAAATAAAGAAAGAATATATTTGTAGTTGAATAAATTAAAATTTAAATGAACATATACATAAACATCACCATTCATTTCATTGGAAGGTGATACGTTTGAAAAGCGCGATTTTCGTTTGAGTAGCGAAATCCTTCTTTCCTCTCCCTTTCCCTGCTCTTTTTCTTACCTTCCCTCAGCGCGAGAATCAGTCATGGCTGTGAACCTTTCGTCCTCGTTGGATCTATCAGCATCTTCCTGTGCGGCACCCGCTGCAACGCCTTGACCAGCTTCATTCGTCATCCGTCTCTCTCGCTTTCCCGTTATTTTCCATCCCGTGGCAATTCGATGCCCATTAGGATCTTTCATGAACTCCGAAATAGTGGATCCCGTCGTTGCATGCGACCGTTTCTCCCGTAAATGTCCTCGCAGCGTTTCTCTGCGCTGCGTCGCATCGGCCATTACATTTTCCGGAAATGGGTTTCGCTGGCTTTTCGTCGCCCAGGCGGTCGTATTGGAACAGTCTCCCGTCGGGAATAGCGACGCGGATGGATTCGTCGACAATTCGACGCTTATCTGAACCAAATAGTCCGCCCAACAGTAACCCAGAGTCACCTCCTCGTCGTACGTGTTGTATATTTTCCGCCAATATCTGAGAGTTTGTCGCAACAGCGCAACGGAATCCGTTCCCCATCCGCCTTCCGTTGATCCCGATATCAGCGTGAGCAACAGAGCGAAAAGTATCGGGATGCTGGGCGACATCGATTCGTGTCCGTGTTCCTCCTGGATAGGACAGGAATGGATACGAACGATCATCTTTCGGACGCGCGCATAAATCGGTCGAATCACGTCGATGCGAGAAAGCGGATAAGAATATGTCTAACGTCCTTTGAAGCGACCGCGATTGTTTAGAAAAATGTTTCCGTTTTTACAAAGATAAAAATTGAAACGTTCAGAGAGGGTGAGATAGATGGATCTAAAACTTGGAAAACCTAAAGCACGCCCTCAAAGAATTTAAATTCCACACAAGTGGAAAGAGAAATAGAAAAGAAAGTAATGAAAAAAGGCAAAATAATGTGAACAAATATAAATTAATATAAAGAGGAAATATATAAATATAAAGAAAAGTAAGTAACACATATGAGATAATGTTGGTAATGTAAGATAAAAAACGAGTCTTACACACACACAATTAAAATTGAACAATGATTATAGTTTCTGATCAGTCAGCAGAGAGAATTCCGTGTTGACGATGGCGACACGATTGTAAAGAGCAAAATATTAGCTTTACAAAATGCAGACTATTGCAATAAGTTAGAGTAAAAGAAAATATACTTGTCTCTCTTTAATTTATTGCGTTAGTGCAAAGTTCAAATTCGAAAACAAACAGACCTAATGATGTAAACAGGCTACCAATTTTTTTTCTTGCAAACTACAGCATTATTACTGAATATAATGCGTGCATATCATGTGTGATACTATTATGGAAGTGTGGAAATACTGCGAATACCGTGCTTATTGTAATATTTAATGCATATAAGTAGTTATTCGGTTATATTCGGCACAGCTGATTTTTTGTTAAAATAAGGCGATTTATCACGCGGTTATGTAATAAGTTATTTCGGCAAAATAGGAGTATCCAGAGCATTTCACAAGTATGTAGAAGTATGTAAAACAGATTGCAAGTGTTATTTTGATAATACATCTTTTCTTTAACTGTGGTTCGCAAGAATTTTGGGCATGGTTTTCCTCGCTTCTGACGTCATTAATCCAATATGGCCGCGGTGACTTAGGCGATCAGGAACCTTAACGGATTCGGGAAAGCAATCGAAGCTAAGTTCTTTCTCTCGTAGAAAGTTGCAGAGAATGTAGAAATCAGTTTTTAAAAGAACTTGACTTCAGATATCTGACTTCAACTAGAAAAAACTCCAAAAGGCAGCTAAAAAGAATGAGAGAAAGAGAAAGAAAGAGGGAGAGAGTGAATTAAGTTAACCACCCTTATATCTTCGGATAAATTTTAATTAGAAATAAATGTTCAACAGTTTTCCAATATTGAGAAATTGGCGATCAAGTACTTGGTGGGTTGTAAAAATGAAGATCTCATGAAAATAATCTGATGAAAATAACTAATGGAGTTGATTAGCAACTAACTTTGGCAATTTCTTACTAGACTACAATCTTTATCATAATCTCAATAAATGATTTAAGATAGAGTTATAAATAACTACTATTCAATCTATGATAAGTGATGACAATATTTCATTTTATCGAATTATCATGACAAGTGTGTGTGTGTGTGTGTGTGTGTTATGTTTTGTGATTCCTCAAAGATATCTACACCGTGATGCTAAGGTCAACTGATACACATCCATACGTTGCTACTTGTTCACGGTGTTTTAATTACAAACTTACATTTGGTTAATCAACATACCGTTGTAGTCAATGCCTCGCTTAGCTGCTTGCGTTTTGCATTAAGCTCCCTCGTCACTGATGTCCGTGAAAATTTCGTGTAGAGAACGTACCTTTTTGCGTTATGTTATTCAAAGTCCCAGAGATAACGAACGGCAGCTGGAGAAATACATCACCCAATTGGATATCGCACTGGTTACATAACGAGTATAAACGGACTCGTCAGAAGGGAAAGAAATAAATAAAAAGAAAACAAGAAAGAGAAGAAAAAAGAGACGATATACATATGTAAACGGATTCGTTAAAATTTACGTTCATAAAAAGGGCCGGGAAACTGGAGGACAATAACAAGAAGATTTTCTCCTCGTAACGCTAAACGACGGACTGACTAGCTTTTACGGCAGGGCAGCGTGCTATACCTGCTGTACCTGCCGTGGCAATTAGTGTTAGCGCCCAAAGTGCATAAAGTGCATAACCTGTCTGCCTCGTAAGATACCCCCTTTCCACTCTTCCCCCCTCCTTGGCTATCTCCTTCGCACCTGTGCGAGTCCTGTCCAGCTCTTTTCTCGCCGTCTCTCTTCCCCGTTCTTGATACGAGTTTTGTACGAGGGTAACGGGATTTCCATGTAGTGGAAACAAGGATGACGGTCGAGGAGAGTGGGTTGCATTCCTACCTTGAACCGTGAGTCACCACCTCGGGCGAAATTTAAGGATATTCCGGCTAGCCGAGGAGTATAATCCGTAAATAATTCAGTAAAGGCGACGTACGGCGAAAAAACAAACGCTGCCGCTCACACCCGATGGAAGGGAAGCGGTCGAACTCTTCTGCGCCGCTTCCTCGAGGAAACGTAAATAGAACGAGAGGAATCAGAAGGAACTTCTCTCGCCGTCAACGAGCGCGTCGCAGAAGTAGTTAAAAAAAAAGAAGTATTATGCTGCGTTGTTACGTTTACGCGAACAATCATGACGGTTTAATTGGAAGAGTTTAGCCGCGGGAGTAAGTCCAGACAACTTTGCGAAACTTCGCCCCGGAGATTTGTATTAACCGTGTTTTTACCGACTTTCCGCTCTAACCTGTTTACTTGATAAAAAAAAGTTAAAAAAATAAACTTATCTCACACCTGAAATGTATTATCGATAAAAACGATGTTTTTTATCGCATATTCTGAAAACTTGCCTCAACAATACAAATTCGGCGGCAATTCACGGTTTATTATTTATATATATGTGTGTGTTTGTGTGACACTATACAATATTAAAAGCAATTTATTTGTAATCGTTATATATTATTGAATAACGTTGTATTGATATTGCTGTAATGATTTTTTACTTCCTGGATGTAAAAAATGAATCATATAATCATATAATATAAAGTTAGATTCTGAAATAACTTTGTTGTATTTTTAGTTTATGTTTATTTTTATTAGAGGAAAATGTGTAAAGAATAAATTGTGCGATTGAAAGAGATATTGCGGTCAGCCAATCTTTCTAACCGCACAATTCATTATTTTTCTCTATATATTTTCTCTATATATTTTCCTCTAAATACAAAAAAAAACAACAAAAATATTTTAGAATCTAACTTTAGGTGACTGACCCCGTATATATGTAATTCCCGACGTATATATTCCAATATCCGAAATCGAAATCGAGCAAAACAGCGGTGAGAAAGAGCGCGCGCGGATTACAGTTTAAAATTGAATCATCGCGTGAGCTTCAATAGGGACGGATAATCCTTTGCCGCATCTGCAGCTGGCCGAGTAACCAATTAGCGAATTACCGCGCCATTATCTGCCAGCGATTCATCGTTTTATTCGCCTCCCCTTGTACGCCGCGATCTAAAGGCATCCGTGCGTTTTCCGCTAATTAACAGCGGTATCTGTTTTGCAGCCGTGCCGACTCCTTTTCCTTTCGACGACAGCGGAATTTATCGTATCTTCATCCGCTCTTTTGCATGTCGACATTAAAGCGCGCTCGACGGTGCGGAAGTTGAAATATTATTTTCGACTTTATTTTTGACGTTTCGCTCCATCGGATTTACTTATTTTACTCGCGTTTTCGAGGTTCGCCATCAAATCGCCTCCACGCAAAATCGCCGCGGGACCGACGTACTTATCTTGCGGTGTGACTTTTTCTCGAAAAGCAACTAAATTATTTCGTAACAACTAATTCAAAAATAAAGAAAAAAAAAGGAGAACTGCACGCACGCACAACGGGATTTATAAAACTTCATAAATTTGCGCCGGGGAGGTCGAGTTGCGCGCGATAACTCGTCCGTGAGTGCGAAGGGGTTAAATTACACGTTTCTCATCTCGCGTCCCCTTTTTGTTCCTTTTCACCGCGCTTTCCCACTTATCCTCGTCGCGTCTTTCCTTTTTCACCGTCCCAGTTCTCCACGTACGTACGTACGTATATACGTAACGGAGGATCGGGGGAAGCAAAAAAAGGCGGATGATCCACGTAACCACACTCGTCCTGATCCCTGGATCCCCTTAACCCCCCGCGAAACACGACGAAAGGATAAGATAGAGAAAGAGAAAAAGAGATAGAGAAAAAGAGAGAAAGAGAGAAGGAGAGAGAGAGAGAGAAAGGGAGAGAAAGTATGACCATGGGAGGTCCTCACCCATTTGGCCACCTACGCTACGCTCCTACTCTCCCTCTCATCGTCCTTCTGTCCCGCTTGGCCTTTCGTTTACCGCCTACTGCCTTCGCAGCAGCACTCCACTTTGTCTTGCGCCCGACAGTTACATCGACACCCACTCGTCCGGGGTGAGCCTGACCGGCAATTCTGCCGGTGGAGAGTAGCGGCGGCTACGTTCCAGGGTGCTCTTCTGAAACGTCAATCGCACTTCCAGCGTACCGGAATAGAATAATTGGAGCGCCGGCTTTTCACGACGACCGAATCATTTTTTGCGCTGGCCGCGAACGCGTTCCGCGCTAACATTTTTTTCCTTCCTCTTTACCCCTCTTACCCGTTCGTCTCACCCTCTATTTCCTTCTCCCGCCTATCACGGCGCGAGCGTTACGAATGCGTGCGTGTTATATTACGGGAGACAATTAACTTTGACTAACGTTACACATCGATTTCGCCTGCGGTATGCTTAATTTCACCGAATGCATGCACACACATACACATACACACACAGCTTACGCGACCTGCCGCTGCGTTTACGTGAACAAAGCTTGGGCAACGCATTAACAAATATTTAATTTTCATATTTATTTTTATCTGTGTTATGACACGCGGAAAGATCAACAAGACGAAGCTGCTTAAAAGCTTATAATGCGACTGTGCAAATGCGTATATATTATCGCTCCCTGTACAGCGCGCGTCGCGGTTTTTACCGGTAGCATATTATCAGCGGGATCGAAGCTTTCAGCTTTCATCGCGCGTATATGGCGCGTAC